CAAAAATCGAAAACGAAGTGAAACAAATCTGAAGTGATTTTAGTTTTTCTCAGGAGAAAAAGCTACAAAAATGCGTTATAATTATAAGTTTGCACATAAAAATAATTCTAGATCCGTCGCTATTGTTACATTGAATGTGAGAATACGTATTTATATAAAAATTTCACTTCATTCTTCTTAAAGATATCATTAAATACAAATTTATTTTTTGATATTAACATGATCTTATCACATAATAAACAAATAATGAATATCTAATTTATTTCGAAAGTTCTTTTAATAAGTGTAAAATTAGAATTTTTGTTTTAAACGATTGTTAGCAATTTTTTTACAAAGTTTGAATGTTAACGAACTGTTATTCCTAGTGCACAACAATAGTGTGTAATAGAGCTATATCTATTTGTTTTTTCAATTAAGATTCATGTTTATACTATAAAAGTACGAAGTTGTGAATAGAAAAAGGCTATACAAGGCTATCTTATGCGTTCTTTCTCACTTCTATAGATACATATAACATGTGCACACATATATTCTGTTTAAGAAAACATTCTTTTTCGATCATTATAAATATTATTTACCATTTAGATATGGTGCAAAGAAAACGGCAACGAAACGATACGATTCAAGATTATACTAACAATAAAAGATCAAAATTACAAAATGAAACTGGAAAAACAAGAATCAATAGAAACAAGTTTATTATTGAAAATTTATTATCTCCATTGGATTCTTATCTTTTGTTTTATTTAGATCTAGTTTTGAAGATTTAGCAAATGAAATATTTTATGAAATAATCGACTATCTTGATTTTTATCATGTTTATAAAGCATTTTTTAATCTTAATCAACGATTTCAATGCATTTTAACTAATTCAATATATCCAATTAGAATAAATATATTAGCTATGTCAAAATCAAATTTTGAACATTATTACAATGATATAATTATACCAAATAAACATCGAATAAATAAACTTCGTTTATCAAATATATTTACTATTAATATTATTTTTTCTTCTTCACGTTTTATTTGTAAATATCTTCAACTTGAAACATTAATACTTGACAATATTAAATCAAAATCTCTTGAAAATATTCTTAATCATTTATCCTTTTTACCGAAATTAAATTCATTAACTATTCATCCTATTGATTATATTCAAAATCCAACTATTTTTTATTTAAAATTATTTCGTTTACCAAAATTAAAATTTTGTCAAATTTCATATGAAACAAAACAAGATAATAAAGAACATTTAATGATTTCTTCTAATTATTTTAGCTCTATTGAACATTTAATAATAAATGCTCGTTTTCCAATTGATGAACTGGATAATTTATTATCATATGTTCCTCGACTTCATCGTTTAACAATTAATTCTCTTAAGGAATTTGATCGTAAACAAAAAGATTTATGTTCAATTACATTAAAACATTTAAAATATCTTTCAATTAAAATTGATTCTATTCGTTTTAAGAAATTGGAAATTTTATTCAAATATTTCTTTCAACATATTCAAATTTTGCGTATTTCAACAAATTCGAATATTGAATTTTTAAATGCAAAACAATGGGAACAATTAATATTAACATATATGCCAAATTTACAAACATTTGATTTTTATCATGATGGACTCTTTTGTATTATGTATATTCGTAATCCATTAAAATTTCATGAGATTATTAATCAATTCAATTCTTCATTTTGGACCGAACGAAAATGGTTTTTTACACATCAACATACTTCTCACAAAACATTAGATTGTGGAATATTTTATTCAATAGAACCATATAGGTAAAATTATTTCTTTTAGCTATAAATCAATAATAAATTGTCAATACATATAAAGTTAAATGAGTTTATTGTTGAGTTAAAAGTAAGGATGTACAAGGATCAAGTATTATCGATTTTTAGTCTGAAATTCAGTGTCATTCTTAAAATCTTCATTGATCATATTTTAACAGCAGTAGACTCATCGCACATCAGCGTTCGATATGGGTCACTGTCTTTGTGGTCTCAACCATACACACGTCGGACATTGTTACATATAAACATGAGCACTTTTCTCTTCAAAGAATCTACGAAGTTTTTAATTGTGAATTATTTCATCTAACTACCTATACAATCTGAAATGAACTGAATCAAAAGTTACCATATTTCGATTAGAACTCGTTAGGTTCATAATTTTTAGACCCAAAACCGACCTCGATATTTTCAATAACAATTTTCTAAATCCTTTTCGGGTAATAGAAGACGACCATTCTTGTATTATATTCAAACATAAAAATTTTCATAGTGATCTTCAATTCTATTTTTTTTTCTCTCGTAAATTATAATTTAAAAAGATATTCAGAAAAATTATTAATCTTAGTCTTCTGTTCAAAGAATTACTTAATATAGAGGGCTTTCTTTAGCATGCACCGTTTAATTCATCGAAGCAAAGTTTTCAACTATTATGAATCTTCTATTCTGCAGAAAGATTTAATCAAAATCTGATGATTACTTTGAAGATATCAAATGTTTTCTTCCATTTTTCATTGGCATTCGCTAACTTACATAAACTACCAACTTCTCAATATTATTTTTTTTTAGAAGAAAAGAATATATATATTATTGGGAATTAAGTGATCCAACTTGTTTATATCACGAAAGAACCAATTTATATTCAGTTAAACATATTAATATTTATAGTAAACAAATTACAAATAATTGTTTAAACTATTTTCCAAATGCTACTGAAGTAACTTTCAAATATAGTTTTAATGCATTTGAGAATTCAATATCAATGGCTCTTAATCATATTTTACCTTTGATAAAACTTACTAAATTAACTATTGAATATTGTAGCTTTCCATTTGAACAATTATTACAATTATTAAGCTTTACACCTAATTTACATATATTAAAATTTCAATCAATATCATTTAATCAAAATAATTTTATGTTAATTCAACAAAATGAAACTTTTATATATGTATCAAAAATTAATCAAGTTAAAAGTCTTGATGTTCGTGAAAGTTGTACATTAGAATGTATTGAAATGATTATGAATTTATTTCCTCAAATAGAATATATTAAAACTGGATTAAATAAAAAAGAAATTGAACCAATTGGACGATTTCTTTTTTCAAAAATTAATAAGAAAATCTATAAGTTATTATTCTTATGTATTTCATATACGCCTAAA